TGCCGGTGGCTCCTCCTCCGGAACTGATGCCGATGGGCAGACCTCAGGGGACAGAGCGGGGCTGCTCCCCAGGTGAGAACACACCCAAATTCAAAAGGCATGGGCAAAGTACCTTGAAATCCAATGTCACGGAGGCAGCTCCCTCCTTACGAGCGAGAGCGTCTGTTCTCAAGACCCCAGATAACCAGGGGCCGAGCCACCAGGATTGGAGCGGCCTATTCAGTGGCCCACATTCCATGTCCATCAAGCCAGCCCGAGTCTGAAATGCCGTGCAAATTGTCCAAGACTGAGCCGAGCTCTGCTGAGTGTGTTAAATGTATTTCATTGCATTCTGATCCTTTTAGGCCCGTCACTGTGTGCTATTTAGACACGGGAAGCCCCTGTGCACCGTGAAATGCTGGCTTCCCTCCCGGCCCTGTCACTCCGAGGTGCCCCTTCTTTGCTGCCGACTTTCCTGTTCTCTCTCATCTGAGGGTCAGCATGCGCTTGCTCGAACTCCACGTCCCTGAGCTTCTGCGGGGGCCTGCCCCTCACCACAGGAGGGGAGGCTGGCTGTTGAGGAGATGCAGCCTTCTTCATCCTTGACGGTGACGTAGAGATGGGGCAAGGGTATTTCTACTGCCCCCAGGGCTGGAGCTCCATGAGGACCACGCTGTGTGCTGGGAGGATCTGAGACAGCAGCAGGTGCAAGAGGAAGGGACCTGGAGCCTACAGACAGGGACAGCCTTGCCCTAGTCACATTGCCACATGGGCAGTGTAGCTCAGGGGGCCACAGACAGGCAGGTGCCCTGAGAGCAGGACTGAGATGACGCAGGGGGCAGGGCCAGAGTTTGATTACCTGTCGACACCTCCCCCCTCGAGGAAAGGTTGAGTTTGACTTATCTAAGGAAAGCAGGTCCTGTGCTTTTTTCTTTTTAAGAGAGAGAGATTTTTGCTAAAGGGTGCATGTGCTCACCAGAGAGACAGAGACAGAGAGACATAGAGACAGAAAGGGAGAAATCACCCCGTGGGGGGTGGAGGGGGTGACCACACTGCAGTCCCTTCTCCTCTTGGGATTTGGGGCATGTACATACAAGCACCTGGCGTGAGTTTTAAGCTACTGGGTCCCAGACTTGAACCATGGTCGACTATGGGGGAGTCCAGCAACATAACCATTATGCCATCTGCTGGTCCCAGCCCTGCGCTTTAGAAGATGATAAACTAGGGACCAGCAGTTAGCATAATGGCTATGTCGCTGGACTTCCATGTGGTCGACTGCGGTTCAAGTCCCAGATCTGGTGGCTTAAAACTCACACCGGGCGCGTGTGCGTGCTTGCCCAAGATCCCGAGAGGAGGATGGAGGAGAAGGGATTGTGGTGTGGCCATCCCCCTGGGGGGTGATTTCTTGCTTTCTGTCTCTGTTTCTCTCTGTCTTTCTGGTGAGCGCACGTGCCCTATAACAAAAACCTCTCAAAAAAAAAAAAAAAAAAAGATGCTGATGATAAACTTGTAGCCTGTGGGAAACCCTCCAGTCCAGAGTGTTCTTTTCCTACTGGAGCTGGCTAAGAGCACCCATTTGTACTTAGGGACAAAAAGTTGGTGGAAAATCAAATGAAAGTACTAGTTTATTTTGGTGCAAAAAAAAAGAAAGAAAGAAAAAGAAAAAGAAAAGAAATTGAAATCACGTGTAGTTTTTTGTCACAATGCCCATTTCCCACGAGCTTTTCGTAGACCCCGCACGTGTCCTACTCCCACAGAGACCTCCAGCCCTGTCCCTTCCACCTTGACACTATGCTGGGACAGGACAGACCCAACGAGAGCCTGACACAGGTGCGACCTCCACTTACCTCCATAAGTCAGGCTGGACCCTGAGTGGGTCAGTCTGCCCCTGGAGGGCAGCTCGAAGGTCATTTCCAACCATAGATGACCTTCAGGACCTCGGGGAGCTTCATGGAGGTGGACAGCAGGGCCATTTCACAGGCAGAGGGGGAGGTTGGGACTCCTAGAGCCACGAAAAGGGAGGAGTGTGGAGAGGCCCTCGCGGTGTGCCGGGTCCAGTCCCAGAGGCTAGGCCAGCAGCAAAGGTGCTCCTCAATTGTCTCACATGGGAACCAGCTCAGGGTCAGGAGCAGCTGCCTCTCGGGGAACCAAGGCAGAACCTTCTCTCTCTGAAACTCTGGGACCCAGAGGCTCCGACACACTCAAAGCATTCGGGGTGATTTGGCTGAGCAGAGCCAGGCCTGGCTAGGGAGCAGCTGGGGTTCCGCCATGCCGCTGCAGCATCAGAGCACGGGGTCCATCTCGTATGGTCCGGCCCCAGCCTCAACTCAG